GGGGGGGTGTTGGGGGGACATGGGGGGGACATGGGGGACATGGGGGGACACGGGAGGGATGGGAGGACACGGGGGACATGGGGGGACATGGGGGGACACGGGGGGCAGGGGGACGAGGGGGACACGGGGGCATTTGGGGGATCATGGGGGACATGAGGGGTGTGGGGGGACACGGGGGTGATGTGGGGGGTGCTGAGGGGACATGGGGCTGTGGGGGTGACATGGGGGACATGGGGAGACATGGAGGGGACACAGGAGGATATGGGAGGATACAGGGGGACGAGGGGGACATGGGGGCATTTGGGGGGTCATGAGGGACATGAGGTGACAAGGGGGGGCCATGGGGGCCATGGGGGTGATGGGGTGGGGCTGAGGGGACATGGGGGACGTGGGGGACATTGGGGGGGGACATAAGGGGACATGGGGGGAGACATGGGAGGGATGGGAGGACACGGGGGACACAGGGGCACATGGGGGGGACATGGGGGGACACAGGAGGGACGGGGTGACACAGGGTACCATGGGGTGACACGGGGGTGCCATCACGGTGCCATGGGGTGCCATGGGGATGCCATGGGGTGACACAGGGGTGCCATGGGGTGACACGGGATGCCATGGGATGCCATGGGGTGCCATGAGGTGCCATGGGATGCCATGGGGTGCCACGGGGTGCCATGGGGTGCCATGGGATGCCATGGGGTGACACGGGGGTGCCATGGGGTGCCATGGGATGCCATGGGGTGACACGGGATGCCATGGCATGCCATGGGGTGCCATGGGGTGACACGGGGGTGCCATGGGGCGCCTCCCCCCTCGCAGGGGTTCTTCCGGCGCAGCCAGAAGGGCGGCCCGAGCTACGCGTGCAGCCGCCAGCAGAACTGTCCCATCGACCGCGCCACCCGCAACCGCTGCCAGCACTGCCGCCTGCAGAAGTGCCTCCGCCTCGGCATGTCCCGCGACGGTGCGTGACAGCCGGGGACACCGCGGGGACACCGCGGGGACACCGCGGGGACATCCCTCCCTACGCTGGGACAGCCGGGACAGAGGGGGGGCACCGCAGGGACATCCCTCCCCGCCCTGCGGATACCTGTCCCTAAATCTGGGGACACCCGCCCCAGAGACAGGGACACCCCTGGGGACATCCGTCCCTGTCCTGGGGACACCCCTCCGTGCCCCTGGGGACACTCCTGTCCCTAAATCTGGGGACACTTCTCCCCTCCTCCTGTCCCTGCCCTGGGGACACCCCCGGTGACACCCGGCCCTGCCAAAGGGGACACCCGGCCCCGCCCCCTGTCCCTGCCCTGGGGACACCCGTCTGCACCCTTGGTGACACCCTTGGGGACCTCCCTCCCGGCCCCCTGTCCCTCACCCCTGGGGACACCCGTGTCCCTCTCCTGGGGGCACCGATTCCTCTCCTGGGGACATCCCTCCCGGCCCCCTGTCCCCTCCCCTGGTGACACCTGTCCCCCTCCTGGGGACACCTGCCCCCCTCCTGGGGACATCTCTCCCGGTCCCCTGTCCCCTCCCACATCTGGGGACACCCGTCCCTGTCCTGGGGACACCGGTTCCTCTCCTGGGGACATCCCTCCCGGCCCCCTGTCCCCTCCCCTGGTGACACCCGTCCCCGCACCTGGGACACCCGTCTGCACCCCTGGTGTCACCCGTCCCCGCTCTGTCCCCTCCCCTGGTGACACCCGTCCCCGCTCTGGGGACACCTCTCTGCACCCCTGG